CATCACCCCCCCCCCTTCTCAACCCCTTATTATATTGTGAATGCAGTACAGACTACAAAAAATCGTTTATTGACATTTTAACTTCCTGCCTTTCACAATGAGCGAACTATCGTCGAACTTTTTGTTCGCTTTAGTCTAAATGCACCTTTAAAAACAACGCTTATAATAAATTACATATTATATTATTAACGATAACATTTATTTCAAGCACTTCACATATACCATTCAGGGAAAAAAAAATAGGCGATATAGGTTGATAGGACACCTTCTCAGGCATGAAGGTCTAGTCAGAGACATGTTAGAGCAGAAACAGGAGTTAGGGGGGGTAGAGGTAGACCTAGATTAGATTACTCTTCGCAAATAGTTAAGGATGTGAGTTGTTCTAGTTTTAGGGAAATGCGAAGTTTAGCTCAGGATAGGAAAGAGTGGAGGTACGTATCCAACCAGTCTTAGGACTGATGACCTTATGATGATGATGATGATGATGATGTTTATTATTATTATTAAAATATTCAATATTAGTTAAGGGAGAGTGAACCTAAAAACACGATTTAAAAAAGGAATTGCACGTGTAAAATACCCCTTAAATATTATTTAACATAGGTATATATTTATTTTTGTTTAATTTAAATATTTACCTACATTTTCGAAACAGAAAAAGAAAAGGTGTGGTGTTATAGGAGGATGATGAAAATACGCAGTGGGTACAACAGGTACAAAAGATTAGAAATGAGTTATCAGAAAAAAAGACGAAAATAAGGATGCTATCGATGACAGTAAGAAAAAGAAGAGATACGATGGCGAAACCTTCTGAAACACAAAGGGCTAATTAGACACACATTTTCTACTTTCCGGCATTATTTCTGCTAAAGCACAAAAAGCCCACGCGAAATTGTAAGTGTAGATGGTGAGAGATAACAGGTATTTACTAAGCATTAACAACTAATAATTATCCAAAAAAGGTAGATATAATCTCATGGTGCCATCGGTCTTGAAGTACATCGTCAAGTAGGTACTTTGCAGCGTTGTACTTACTAAAATAAGTAGGTACTTTCCGACATTATCTTTGCTAAAATACATAAAATAATTTAAACACAAAAAGCGCTTGTGAAATTATAGGACCACCATTTTGTATAAAATAAATATACAATTAAACTAACAGAAAATTCAGGAAACAGAATTTTTATATCCTTTAGTGTCTAAGAATCATTGAATAGAAAGAGAGAATTCATTGTAGATTTTCTTCTTTTATTCAAAAACAGACATACACAAAAACACTTAGGAAACGCCTACCTCTCATGATGGAAATTTTCCGTAGTCTTTTGGATAAATATTCCTCATATTATATACCATTGATTATCTCATTCACATAAAAGTCAGATGCATACGTTGGTAAATTAGGAAATTCTTATTTAAAATTTCACTTTTAACAAATACTTGATCCTGTCGCACGTAACAATTACGATAAAATCACACCGCCGAAGGACGACCTCGTCAGACGAACAAAGCCACAAATGATACTAAACGAGAATAGTATGATAGTAACATATTATAGTAGATACATGTATACATACGTTATTTTATGTATGAATACGCTACCAACATCGTCATCCCAAATAAATTACTTGCCCACTAATAATAATTAATTACTATTGTCTTATGAATACTGTATGTTAGAAAGATGTTAAAGGTGAATGTAATACATAAAAATGTGGCGAATAACCTACAGGAAACAGCTTTTGACTGCAGTTTAAATTAAACTAAATTTCATTGTTAAAACCGAAAATTACGCAGAAATATTGAACATAGAGAAAGCGCAACTCAATTTTCGACAACTTAAAAAATTATTCTGAAAAATAATAAAGGCGAATGTAATACATAAAAATGTTGGGAACAACGTGCCGGAACAGTTTTTGACTACAAGATTCTTAGAAAACATCTCGAAGAGTTTCACTTATTAGATGAACCCAAGCTAAAGAAGCTATGGATTTTGTCTCTTATTAGAGTATTTAAAAGATGAGAAACTAAATGGGGTTGTATGTATTTTGACATAAATTGATTGATGTTGACTTTACATCAATAAAATTATTTGCAACCCTATTTTGGCTCTGATCTTTCACGCTAAATAGACTATTTTTTGCAGTAGTGTCCTTTATCCAATTAAAGCGGGTGACAAAGGTAAATAAGAAGCATATAAAAGAATTATTTGTTGAAGAACTGAAGAAACTCTAACAAAAATTTAGAAAAACTATATCTCAATCACTTCAAACAGAAGAATATAAATCATACTNGTACTTTGCGGCATTATTTTTGCTAAAATATATAAAATAATTTAAACACAAAGAAGTGCTCCTAAAATTATTGGAAGATGGTGGGTATTTAATATGCTTTGATATCTGCAATGCTAGTCTAAAACATAATCGACTTTTTTGTCTTTCTGCAACTATACTGTTAATCATTACAGTCAACAGCTATTAATTAATTACCTAAATGTTTTGTCAAATGTCCTATCATCAAAAATAAGAAATACTTGTTTTAATAACAGCAATATTACTGTACTTATTATTTTGAACGATTTAGCATATCCTATGTAAAATTATATAGCACGAATAGTTGTTTATATTACCCTTAAAACTCAACGGGAAGTATGTAGGTACCTAAGCACGTATGCATATCTTTCTCATATCTTAAAAAACAATCATAAAAATACAATCATTTTCAAATGCATCACTTAATTATAAAAGCAATCCTACCTTTTCTTTGTAGACATAGTAGTTTTAGTAAATATTCTGCAGAGGATTCACTGAACAGCACAAAACAAACCCCGTTTAATACTACAGATAATATTACATTCAGTCTGATTCAGTCAAGGGCAATGGAGAGGTGAACCAGTCGTTTATCTCTTTTAGTATCACAAATAGGTTGTTATCATCCAAGTCGAGAAATAAGTTTCAGCAAATATAAACGAACACAAGACGTCTTAAAAGATAGTAAATAAATACAAATTGCCATTTTATATGTAATTTTATTTACCTAGGTGCTTAATAGTCAATTAAATTCGATTCGAAATGTAAAATTTGTAACTACATATTACATTGCTTCTTTTTTTTAATATAAAAAATTGTATCTATGTAATACGATTTTACGTTCACTATACATTACTAAGAAATGGAATTAAGATTAAAAAAGATATTTTAATTTTGAAATAAGTCAGAAAAAATTATGAAGAACAAAATTTCATCAAAATTTGAATCGTATAGACATATCAGTCAAATAATAATTAAATAGTTTAACACCTATCACAGACGACACCTAGGTTTGGCCTGTATCAAGCTTCCTCATGGTAGAATAGGAAGCCTGATACATTACAGGGGATGATACAAAATTTCTCTTTTGCCTCCAATTCAGCTTTGATTTATATTATACAAGTTACAAAAAATATCCCTTAAAAACTGTAAAAAATCCACAAAAAGTGAACCTTGCATAAACATTAATGTAACCGAGTTAATGCTCACTTACTATTAATTAACTTTTACTTATTATTATGAATTAAGCATTTAGGAAACATAATTGAAGTAGTACATAAGTACAGTTAAGACTGTAAATGTTTCTTATTTTTACTGATACTGACAGAAAAGATTAATGTAATATATAAATTTATCATTCGACTATTACACAAAATGGCACATTCTTTTAAAATAAGAATGGTCTAATGAACAAGAACATGATAAAGGTACAAACCATTCATATTTATTTTGTAAATTTTACGAAAAAAACTATACAAAAGAACTTTAAAAAAAAACGTATTGCATAATGAAATCAATTATTATTGGAATTATATCTATAGATATTATATTAAGAGCAAAACTAACTGATTTTTAAATTTATTTGACCCTGAATAACATCAAAAATAAAAGAATAATTTAAGCTATTTCTGACTTCATTATCTGTTAAAAGACAAACACCCTGCCTAGTATGCATATCCCAAGTGATTTTCTTTCCTACAACAGGTGCTATTGTAGGTCCAGTAGAGATTATATTCTTTTCTGAATCATCGAGGAACCAATCCACCCAAACAGCTACTCCGTTACAATTTTCGTTCCTAAATGATAAAATAAAACAATAACAATTATACATTGAAGAGTACAACAAACACCCTCACCCTTGGAGGTTGATAGTGCCAACATTTTCAATGACATCTTCTTCAAAAAACTTTTTTAAATTAATAGTAGCAATTGTGGTAACTTCACTTAAAGCAATTCCAGGGTATTCCCATAAAGGTTGGGCCTCCACTGACGAATCGCTTATTTGAGATGAATTCTGAAAGGTACAAAAAACAATTAAATAAGCTTTAAAGTATATTTCTGGCTAATGAAAAAAACTTACCGTAATTAATTCATCAAATGGTTTCATATTGAATCCTTCACAGTTTATAAGAGGAGCCCTAATTTTATACAAGTCTTGAAAATGAACTGCTATTATTTTTATATGAACCTTTTGAGGTATAATGACTGCATTTTCTGGTAAAAGATCTTTAAAATGCTCCAATAAATAACAAAAATGCAAACTGTCCCAAGGTACAATAGTTGTCACAAAAAAGGGTTCTCCAAATACAACATTTATATTACCTACATTTACACTCTTCTTAAGTTCATCAACGCCTTCATAAATGTGAACATTTGATAACTTATTAAACTTTATAAAAGAGTGAAGAATTTCTCGTATGTGAACATTTTCTTCAATATAATACACTTCCTTAGCACCCAGTTTAGATGCTACCATTCCAAGATAAAAGCCATGACTTAAAATTAGTACCTGACTGTCATTAGTTACACAATTTTCTAAAACATTTATATACTTTTTAGTCCTAACACTATCATTTAGTTGCCCTATCCTAGTTCTGGAAAAAGCAATATGTACACCACAATCGCATATAGGGGAACACAAATAGTCCTGATTTGATAATTTCAAGTCTTTCTTTAAATTAAACCACAAAGAATATTCATCATGACAGCAAATAAAATACAATTCTTTATCTTTTTTTACTTTAACTTCTGAAGGTAAATAATATACAGCCTGCATCCAATGGTCCCGCCAAGGAATTTGAACATCTTTTAAGTCTGATCCAGCCTTAACTAATGGATGACTCCAATATGGAGCACAGCTAAGAACTATTTTGTTGTCAGGATCCATTATGAGATCCCACCACATAAATACCACTTGAGCCAAACCATCATGTTGTGATTTAACTGTGAGAATATTTGACCTTTTGAAATTAAATGTAGTCTTTCCTGAAAAGTCAAACCTCAAAACAGTTTGAGGAGGAAACACTTCATTAAATAGCTCATGTGGAAATTGACTCAGCTGTATATCATGAACTGCGGCAGCTCCATGACAAGTCCGTATAGAATTTGGAACACTCAACAACTTTTCTCCATCACTATTAAAAATATCTTTTAATCTATTCCAATTTGCTGCAACTGGACTTTCAACTACTTGAGCATAAACATTAGCAGCATTTGGAATAACATAACAATCACTTTCCAATAGCTCTTTATGTGCATGACTGAAAGTTCCAAGGGCACCCTCTCCAATCAGTTCTGTATCAAAGACTTCAGTTACTAAAATATTTGCACGCTCTTTGAGATCACCATTTTTTCCAACAGTTAGCTCTGTACTTCTTTTATTAACTACTTTAATATCATCAGAAAACCCGTTCAATGCAATAATTTGTTTTGCACATTGGGCCATAGGTTTAAATCCTTCACATGCCACAACGGAATCTGCTCCACACTTTACAGCCATCATTGACAATAATCCAGTCCCAGTTCCTATATCTAGCACATTAGCCTTTTTTCCTCTACCATGCATTTTGTTTATAGCAGTTTTTAAAGCTTCATAATACTTCCGATTTCGTTCTTCATCGTGTAACATATCAGCGTACGCCGACCTAGCAATTTCTTGGTGATAATCATACAATTCGTTTTGCATTTCCCAATCACACTGGCCAGTGATAGGGTTCAATCGTTGTGTTAAGACACTCATTCTCTGGAATATTACTTTAGTATTAACAATTTTTAAGAACGTGCCTAATACAAACATTAATCGAAATGTGAGGTTATAAAAGTTTGGTTGGAGAACAACACAATTGTCAAAGTCGATAGTGTTGCTAGTACCACAAAGAGGAAATTTTTAGTATTTCACCTTTTTTTTTCAATATGCAATCAATTTTTGAAAAAAACTTCTTGAATATCTTGCATTTGGTTTGTCGTTTCCTATAAATGTAGAAAGTACGTTAAATTTGTTGACGAAAGAGAAATACCAATGAACACAATCAAAATGTAGATCGATCTCCTACTGAGCTTGATCAAAATATAGATCAACGCCAAATTAGCCTTTTTATAATGATGGATACGTTGTATACAATAAATAGATATCAATAATGGAGTGAATATTATAAGAAATATAATCAATCCATTTACAATTAGCATACAAAAAGTGTTACTTAATCCCAAAATCAATTACAAATACATACGTACTGAGAATTTTAAAAAAGAAAAAATAATGAAATGAGCATTTGCAATTAGCAATGTACGCAATTGATCCTTAAAGTATAATACAAATTCTAATAGAAGAAAAAGAATTATATTCTTACCAGATAATATCACTAGGGTAGTTATGTAGCTGATCCCATTTACCTCACCGATGAGTAATTAATAATAAAACAAAATACAAGGGCAATTAAAGAAATAAGGATATACATAGTTTATAGTGTAAAAAATTTAATATCTTTAACAACGCAATATAATAATCAAATAATAACCATCAGTAACGTTCAACAAAATAGAAAATTTCAATAAAAAGGAACAATAACTATCAAAAGTCTTTAAGTAACGTAAATACTTAAATACTCATTAACAAAACGTGTATTCCACTTATCAATGATGTTATTGCAAGAAATATTGTATAGATAATTATCAATAGGTTTACAAGTTTCCATAAATATAGAAATTAATTATTTCGTTCATCTTAAAAATGGCGTACAAATATATACGTTTTATACATGTATTCATAAATAGAAATGTAAGATACTTCTCAAAAGTTAAAGGAAGATTACGAATTTTGTGAATTCTGTTAAGGCTCCAACATATACAACATTAAGAAAACGTCGTCTAACCTTACCTAACTAATTCAAATATTATTCCTACAAGAGAACTCCACCCACAATCAAAATCAAGCATTACGTGTAGTACTTCTACCATTCCATCTAATTATAATTAAAGTCAGTGAATACGAATAACTATCATAATATATTTATCAGTTATCTTGAAAAAACTTATTTCAACTTATTACATGTTAAGTTGTTGATTGAAGTCAAATGGCACTAACAAAAGACGCATTTAAATCAATTATTAAAAATATGAAAAACTTCCATACTAAATAGTTTTTCCTGTGTATTTTACGTACCTATTGGTAGTAAATAAGCGTAAAATTTCTGTGAACTGTTACTGAAAAGGCCTTGTATAGGTACATATTAAATAAGAGATATGAATTTCTGTTAAAAAAAATTTTTAAACGTTTTTCAACGTCAAATTATGTGCCTAGATAATTGTTATTGCATTCTTGTTGTTGTAAAAATAAATATCCGGAAGTCAAAAAATATCGATAATAATATCGATTAACTTAAAAATAATCCCGACTGACAATATTTTTTTACGTTTACTTCTTGTCAAATGTATCTTTGTTTTTGTATCCAGCAACGTATCCTGACTCATCTACGAGATCCTTCCTTCCTGCTATTCCTTTTCCTTTACCTGTCTCGTCGAAACGCTGTTTGTGTGAACCGGTGTATTTCGAAGCATCCGTAAGTCTGTCAACGGTACTGCTGGCTTTAACTTGCTATAAAAGCATAAAACATTTCATTCAACAGCCACAACAGTTTAAAGTAGAAATAAAATAAGCAAAACGTTGTTTACCTACAAGAAACGCGTTAAATAATCATCAGTAAATTAGTCATTACATTTATCTACTTGGTCCTTTATATTTAAAGTAATATGGCGTATTTGAGATGGATTTAATAACAATACATAACTAAAAATGGCGAATTTTATGGTTCTCAGTTTCTCTAAAATCGAATATATACTTCAAACGTTTTTAATAAACAAAATTACTCAATACTTATAAAACTCAGAGAAACGTCTAGAAACTATACTTTTAGAAGTATAATTTTGATTTTAGTACTTTCACAAAAATGTTTTATCGCCTGTTTCCAGCTAATATATCTTGATTTTTAGTTTATCAAATACGTATTTTTTTATATATATCAAACTATTTCCGTAAAAAGAGGCTATGAAAAACGCACGCATGGAAAAGTAGATACTTCTGGGTCAAGCATCATCCCGTAGGTACGAATTTATGATCGATAAAAAAAAGAAGAAATTTACCCCAACTCCAGAGAAACCTGGTTGTCCACAATTGGCCATTTTGTGTTTCATTTCTTCAAGATCAACTTTTTTGCTCTTGGCTAAATCTTCCAAGAACTTGCTGTAATCGGAAAAAGGGACCTTGAGTTGCTTCAGTTTTTTGAAATAAATGCCAGTATCGGTGGTGGTGATTTTTTTACCATCGATAACCTTTGCTTGTTTCATCCATTTGTCACTTTGGGACAGAGTAATCAATCGGCCATCAGATTTGGTATCACCGAATTTCGAGAATGCTCTAAAAACTTCTTTAAATGCACTCGATGCCGGAGATCCAGGTGACTGGGTGTGAGTTGGAGTTCCGTTGGCCTTTGTAGGGGTTGATGGAGCATCGCCTGCCGAAACTCCGTTCGCTGGTGACGGGGGTTTATTGACATCGCCGTTTTCTAATCTAAGTTTTTCAATTTCAGAGGTAGGAGGTATTGGACAACTTTCAACGGACATGATGTAAAATCTGGAAAGTAAAACACAAATACGGTTCAAAATTTATTCTAAACAGTTGGATTCAATCAATCAAGAATAATAAAATAATTCGAAGTGGTCTGTATTATTTTATTCGATTAAGCTAACGTGCCTATCACGTTGAGGTTGGCTACACCGGGATTCGTTTTCAGCAAGTAGATATCCACACAAGTGGACCTTGTTGGAGCATACGTAATCCTAAAATGTAGCATCGTTAGCAAACGTTAATTCTATATAATAACCAACAACCGACTTTTCGTCTTTTGATAGGTACAACACAATCAGTGACATTACAATTTACGAAAAGTGGGGACGTCTGTTGTATGGAGTTGGTTAAGAAAAATAATAATTCAAGTTGTACAATTCTTCTGCCAACATTCATATTAAAGTCAGTTGACCATTTAATATATAATTTTATCTGTACTATCTTCGAATTATCATTTCGCTCTCTACGGTTAAATTTTAAAAGATCTGTTCGCATAACATAAACTAGACTGATAAAGGTCCAAACTAATAGTTCAGAGACGATGAATCAGGCAATAAAGACGCCATCTAAATAATTTGTACGATAAACAAAGAAACACACCGTAAATAAAATAGTGGTTATTTATAAGTGTAGCGATTTTCCAAAATTAAGATGTAATTAAGATAAAACAAAATACTCAAAAGAATATTTATTCTCTTCGACAAATTCACATTAATTTTTACACCATTCCAAAAAGAAATTAAAATTTAGTTAAACATTTTCTATTATTTCTGCCTTAAAGCTTCGATTCTTTCTGCAATGGGGGGATGAGAATGATACCAGCTGACATAAAGGGGATCGTAAACCAAATCTGCCAAATTTCCCTTATGCAGTTGCTTGAGCGCTCCAATTAGATCATTTGCTTTTCCGAATTGAACTGCAAACTGATCAGCTTGGTATTCTTGATGTCTGCTTAATGTGTTCAAAAGGCATGTGGCTATCGAGTTGATAGGGACCATAACAAGACTGGTAAGAACCATAAGACCTATCAAGACAGGTTCTACACCAATGGGGAATCCCATAGCCTGATATAAAGTTGGCCACCGATACGTCCACGAATACATAGAAATTGTTAGAATGAGATAAATCTGAAAAGCTACGATCCTCGCTGCAATATGCTTATGTTTCCAATGACCGAATTCGTGACATAAGATCGCTAGAATTTCGTTAGGAGTGCAAATAGTAAGAAGAGTGTCATAGAGAACTATGCGCTTTGAACCAAACATGCCTGCGAAATATGCGTTCGCGTGACTCGTTCGTTGTGAACTGTCTTTAATATAGATCCCACCCAGCGGGAACCCTACTGTGCGAGCCAATTGTTCTATGTCATCTTTTAGTTTTCCTTCGGGCAACGGTGTAAACGAACCATCCATTGGATCAATCAAGGTCGGAAAAGTGGCAGTCAAACCCAAAAGAGCAAGGGTTGACAAAAGCCAAAGGACCAATCCCACTTTGTCGCCACTTAACTTGACTAGACTTATAAAAACTGCATATGCGGGAAGATTGAGAATGTGGAGAAAGATGAGCGTGATTATTATATCTGTGAGGAAGATCTCGAATGGGATGTTATTGAATCCGTATTTGTTTTCCAGAACAAACGTTTCGTAAAGAGTGAACGGAAGGTATATAAAAGTGCTGCCGGTCGTGAAGATTACAGACCACATCCATGTTGTACCAATTTCACCCCTGAAGGGTGTTATTCTTTCAGAGAGCGCCCAGACTTTAGCCAGAATACCATGACGGATAATAGCAGTACTGACGGTCAATGCGAACAAATCTTTTGCAAAGCCCAATTTCATTTGATCCATATGATACAGTCGTGACAAGGTGTAGATTTCGGGAGTCGTTATTTCCGCGATGTTCCGAGGCATTTCTTTTGCACTACGTGTCAAACTGAACTAAAACAGAAAGTTTTCGTTGTATCATAATTTCAAGTGAGAAAAAAAGTTGACCACAACGAACTTGTCTGAAGCAAAGATACGTTTCCCAGATGTAATCCAACCAAATGCCCGATAGTATGCATGATGCCACACTTTTAGGATTAGCCTTCGACAAAAAATTTTTCGACCAGGGTGACATATCTGTCATCCATTTCCAAAAACCAATAGGTTACGATTCTTTGCCGTGTTCTAATTCAAATTATTTATTTGAAAATTGACAAATTAACTTTTGTTTATTTTCGTCATAACATACTGCACATTTGATTATAATAAAACTAAAATTGGAACAAATTAATTTAAAATTCAGGGATTTGTTTTTTGAGAAAACGCTCGGATACGTCGGTCTTTATTTTTGACTACGGGTTTTTCATGGTACACAGGGTGGCTCAAAAATAAGCAACTACCACCGACTATATTTTCAAATGGAAGCACCTATGTTTTTTTTTTACATTTTTAAATTTTGCATGGAATTTTAACTATGCTTCATGTACTCCGACCAATTTCAATATTGTATAATACCCAGATTAATTGTGTTTTACCCAAATGCTGAGAACCCAAACATACCAGCAGATATTCAGTATGGTTCCAACCGGATGGAGCATCCCCACACTATTCGCGTATACTTAGTATGAGATTACCCTAACGATATTTTCCAAAATAGATGAATCGGAAGGAGAAGCGTTATCTAACGACCAGTTAGATCTTCAGACCTGACCCAAGTAGATTTTTATATATGTGATTATCTGAAATCTAAGTCTACTTCAATAAACCGGAAAATATATTGAAGAATTGAAGAACAGAATTAGAACTGAAATACAACAAATCTAGTCGCAAACCTTAATCTTAAAGTGTTATGAGATCTTCAAGATCGCTTGCCTATTAAAATATAATTAAATCATTTGTTGTTCTATTGTTTAATAAATTTCCAAAAACCAAACCCTTCAATTTTAAATGTATTTGTTCAAAGCTCGCTGTTTTCCCAAATTTGAAAGAATACATGAGTTTACCATTCAAAAATCCGCAGCCAAAAATAAAGATCTACGAGTCCGAACGTTTTTCCAAAAAATAAATCCCCGAATTTTAAAAGAATTTGTTCCAACCCACGCATCCACATTGTATAATTTAATTAAAGAAAATGCCTATCATGTTTACATTAATTACGTAATTTCTTGGTTTGATTTAAAATTAGTCAATAAGAATAGGGAAGCTTTGCTTTGTTACAATAATTAGTCAGATCCGGGGTTCGATTTCCTGCGGGGGTGTGACAACAGCAACAAAGAAAAATTCTCTCATTAGCTTGAGGTAGTTTGTAGAGGATGGAAAATTGAAAATGAATTTTCACATCAATATCAAATTAACCACCATTTTTAATGTTGTTTTTATTAAGAAATTACCGATTCGTTTATAAGGCTTCATGAAAGATGACATTTCCTCATTCACATGCAAAATAAAAAAAAAAAAAGAAAAAGGAAAAAAGAATTAATAAGTTCGTAACTCCTTCATACTGTCACACAAGATACCCGAAAATCAATAAGTATTCCCTAAGTAGACGGAAATGATAAGGATTTTATTATCTTTTCTATTTTTTAGTTTATTTATCTTAGAATGTAATAAATAGCATTTATGTATACATTTTTATTTTAAAAGTGCAGCAATTGTCATACTTCATATTTTGATCAAGATTGCTTAACTCTTTTCTTTTCTTGTTTTAATTTTTTTTTTGGGCTGCAGCTCTAATGGTCCCGTGAAAATAAAGGGCCCCAGCTCCCATTCAAGGTGATGAATAATATTGTGAATTTAGAAAATAAAAAAATTATGTGAATGGTTTGTAATTTATATAAGAGAGAACTACAAACAATTGTCCTATTTTTTTCCTATCATTAAAGAAAATAGTTTTTTTACAAAATGGTGATTAGTAAGGTACTGTTAGCATTGGGCCCCCCATATTCACGGTCCTCCCCGGGAAGGTATGACCCATTTACCAAACCATAATAAAAGTACTATTTTACACCAACGTGAACAAATACCAATTTCCATTTGTTAAAAACAAACTGATAGATACACCTAAAAGTGATGGCGAAGGAACAAACTGTATTATGATTATGTAATGTAGGATTCAGGCATTAGACAGTTTGCCTAAAATAAATATTAGTGTTAGCAAATGGTATTCGCAGTTTACCGAAGAAGTAACCTTGGACTCCGGTAGTTTGAATATGGTGTTATTATTAGTCAGATAGATTGTGATATTATGTACAACGATGACATAATAAAATTGACGCCATGGTCACATGGTTTCCAAACCGTGTATGTTTGTGTAGTTTTTTACGGAATATTAATTCTTTTTGCTCATTAAAAATTTTTGATGACTTGCTATACACTGTTACCAATGAACTGCAAAATATTGTAAATTATGTTGGTCAAGTGCCTGACAAAATGTATAGTGTTTAGTGCCATACATGAAATTATATGAATAGTAACCAGATACACATCTCTGGTTGTTTTTTTAAAAGTATTTAAATGCAAAATGCAAATACTTTTTTGTTTTTTAAATTTCCATTTTGTATTTTAAATGTTAAATGTAAGATACGTATTTTCAAAACACTTTTTTCAAATAAATACTTTTTGTAGTACCTATTTAATTTTCTACATTTACATAAGTATCTATAAAATATTTTTTAAGAAAACCTTGCAAGCATTTGTTCATTTTTTAAATATTGGAGTTTTCATAAACTAATAGTGGTATTTACACTATATCACTAGCTGTAAAGAATAAGTATCACTCATATTTTCCTCTTTGAAGTGATTGAGATATAGTTTTTCTATCTTTATGTTATAATTTCTTCAAGTCAGCAACAAATAATTTTTCTGTATGCTTCCTTATTTGCCTTTGTCACTCGTTTTAATTAGAAAAAGACACTGATGCCAAAATAGTTTGTTTTGCATGAAAGATCAGAGTTAAAATAGGGTTGCAAATAGTTTTATTTATGTAAAATCAACATCAATCATTTTGTATCAAAATACTTACAACCCTATTTCGTTTCTGATATTTTACACGTTGTAATAAGAGAAAGAAATGGAATCCATAGTTTATTTAGCTTTGTGTTCATCTAATAAATGAAGTTTTTCGAATCGCTTTTTAAGAATTTTGGATTATACGCATTCATGAGCACACCACAGTATCTTGTAATTTACAGTTTTACACAGCTGGCGTATATCAATATTGTTTTGCGGACTGTTTTGTCTTAATTCATTGAATTTCATAGTGCCTTACTAAAGGTACGATAAGTTGTGATTTGACAGGTGCTGATATCAATTTGGAACTTATGAACCATGACATTGAACCCGGAAAACAATATAGATCCAATATTTTAGATTATCTATTTAGGTGATCGGTGATACTACCAAAATTTTCACTTTCAAGGGTCAAACCCTAGAAGCTGACGATGGACAAAATTAGTCCACTTTAACAATACGCGTTAAACATAAATTACAGAGTACGTCACTGCTATATATAGGAATGTTTCGACTTTCAACTAACTTCATTTAAACTGAAATAATCAGAATTATTTTAAAAACTGATAAGAAGCCTAAAATGAGCTGACAACAAAATAATTCCTGATATTTGTTTCTATGTTTTTATTACACAAAATGTAACATATTTGCTGTCGTTATTAGTTATTGTATATTTTATTTTATAAAAAGACATTCGAAAAATATCTACTTTTGAGTATAGTTTACCAAAACCAGGTATTATATATCAGAGTCAACTTTACAAGTGCATAATAGCAATCTTTAAATTTTCAAGGTGCGCTAGCTGTTGTGTACAACAATTATGTACCTCTATAAATAGCAATGATGTGCAACATGATTTACATTAATTTTACTTTTCGAATTAATTGCATATCTTCCGTTTGAAGAAGTTAAGGAGTTTCGGACAGCCTTCTGTAGAAGAGAGCGAGTAACTCTCGAAACGTTAAGTGAAATGCAACTGACAACATAGCAAAAACTTTAAGAAATATTGTATTTGTTTATAATAAAATTTTGCCAAGGTTTGGTTAATCTCATAAAATTCCAGATGTTATGAGGACTGGTAGAGGACCCTTAATGGTATTAAAACTGCCTGATGTAGAGGGGTTTTACTTGTTATATGTCCTTCTCGAAGGAAATCCAACACTACCCAGTCGTGTTGTTATCATTTTGTTAACTATCGATACTTTTCAATTATTAGGTACTTATTTTGACGAAGAGATATTAAGGATGTTTGGGAGGTACAATCGGAGAATAGAGTACATAAAATTAGAAATTCGTGATTAATTAGGTTTTGCAGCATATCATGAGGTAAATAAATACTATCTATACTAAAAAGAAACGTATATGGTTTGAGAGAAAATTTGGAATTTGACCGAAAACTTTGAATAAAATAAGAAATAACGAATAATATGGAAAATTTTTAACTGACTTTTGGCAGTGAATATGCCTTGATTTCAACTTCGAAACAAAAAAATATTTAGTTTCAATCTCTATTAATAATGAGCGTAAAACTTTTTAATATGTTTAAATAATAATTAAAACTTTAAAATTGCATTTATTTCAGACAATTATAAATATTATCATTATATTATCAAGTAAAAACGAGATTTTCAGCTAATTTTTCATTTTTTCCTCGATAACCATTTAGTGAATTTGAATAACCTTACGCTAAAGTGATTCTCCAGAGTTCAAGTTACTTATTATAAAAGTTTGAAATTTCTGGTAGCTTTTTTTCTGTTAATAAAAATAAATTTAATCTGTTCGGTTAACGAATCTCCATAAAATGACGTGTAAAATTACAATTTTTTAAAATTTCAATAACTTTTTAACGGTTTAGTGAATCGATTTGTAATTTTTACAGGAGTTTTAGAATTGAATGAGGAACGTTTTTCCAAATTTTTATTTGTCTTGTAACATTTTGACATACATCCCAAACATTCTTAAATAAAGAAAATAATTAGTTTAAATTTATGTAAGCATGTATTAATCTTATTCGTATTTTTGTTCTATGAATAACAATTTCAGAGAAATTCTTGATTGTATATAGATGATATGAAGGGGTCGATACCTAATGAAAACTTTAAATAAAATTTTAATACAAAGTTCTGAAAAAGTATAAAGTATTTGTTATTCATACTTGTGTGGGAAAGTCGTTGCCTGAATTTCTGTTTCACAAATACCTACAAGGTGTAGCAAATAGAAACTCTAAAAGGTTTGCTAACGAGTAACTGAAAAGAAGACATTGTGCTAATTAAATTAAGGGGATAAATGTAGGTCACTGTAAACTGACTCTTTTTTAACGATAATCTGTTTAGATTTAAAACTTCGACGTGTTTAATCTTCTGTAAATAAATGTAAATGGCAGAAAAGGCTCATGTTTTTTTTTCTGTACCTACCTGCATATACATCAGACGTAATTCAATAAAAATTTGATTTACATTTCAAACTGGATGACTGCATACATGCAAAAAAGGAACAATTGCATCAAATCAACTCAATTTACATGTTATCCATTTTCTTGTGTTTAAACATCACTACATGGTATAAAACAAAGTCGCTTTCCCGCTGTCTGTCCCTATGTATGCTTAGATCTTTAAAACTACGCAACGGATTTTGATGCGGTTTTTTAAAAGATTGAGTGATTCAAGAGGAAGGTTTCTATGTATAATACATGCATAATATAATAGGGAAACGCTGATAATTTTAGAGGTTTCTAATGTGATGTCGTAAATAAACACATTTTTTGCGCTTACATTGCAAACGCTGGCTGAACCCTACGAGATAGATCAAAATAATGTACTACAATATTGTACATCTTAAAAGGGTCTACAAAAAAGTCCGCGATGGTATATGTCTATCTCTTAGGGATAACCCACAATAACCATTTTTATCCTTTACTTTTTATGAGAAATAATGACTTATTTACGAAGCGATTGTAGGCAATACAGCATTAATTCTTATCCAATTAAGTACTTTTAAATACATCGTGCATTTAATATAGATCAATATGGCCCTTTACAACATGTAATTTAAATGAATATTTTCGAAGATATTACAGACTTAAAATGCAGGGACAAAGTGGTTGCGGCGGTACCGGCCGGAAGGCCGGTTTTCTATTGTCTAATGACAAAAACACTGTGAATGTTGTATATAAAGACATTCTGTAGTATATTTAGTATGTTCAGGAGGTATCTTTTGAAGATTTCCCCTTTTCGATATTAATCTAAACAAAACAAAAATATATTTAGTATCAGCATTGCACCCGCGCGAAACTGGGGCGAGTCACTAGTTACAGAATAAAGCACTTTGTTTCGAAGCTTCGGTTTATACCTAATAGTGGAATACACATGTTAAATTTTGAGACACCCTTAAAAGTATTTGCAAAACGTATTTAAACACTTTCATTCTATTTCAAATATTATTAGAATCATTATCAGAAAGTCGTCAGTCCTAAGACTGGTTGGACACGTAGGTACCTCCACTCTTTCCTATCCTGAGCTAATCTTCGCATTTTCCTAAAACTAAAACAACCCACTTACTTAATTATTTGTGAACAGTAATCTAATCTAGGTCCACCTCTAGTAGAATATTTATGAAAATCGACAAGAGTAATTTGCCTACTTGCACCAACTTAAACTAAAAAGTTCAAAGAGGACCACACGGATCAGACGGAATTGACGAGGTGGCGTAATCTCTTCAAGCAGTTTTTTATCACTCCCCAATTTTAAAATTGGTTTTAAATGCATTTATTGGACTTGCCTATTCCCTAATTTTAAAATTGGTTTTAAATGCGTTTATTCGACTTGACGTTGACTTTACTAGGTTCTACCCGTAGCTTTAATGTTCTAAACACGTGTCAAAGCTCATCGACGATCACATAAAACTAATTTTTCTATCTCTCGGGAACAGTATTTCTTTTCTGGATAAAGTATACCCTATGTCTTTTTTTGTACCTCTGATAACATGTGTTCAAAATTTCATGATAGTTTTTCCCCTAGCCTTCGCTCACGTTGATGTCCCAAATACGTTTGTCAAAGTTCATCAACCACCACATAAAACTAATTTTTCTATCTCTCGGGAACAGTATTTAGTTCTGGATAAAATGTAACTTAGTACCATACGTCCTTTTTTGTACCCCTGGTAATGGGTGTACAAAGTTTCTTGATGATCGGTTGTAATATTTGTTAGGATTATTTATATGAATAGATGGCTGAAGATATTACGATACGAATTTTCCTGATGATATCATATTGTTTAAAAGATAATGGCGCCTTTTCTTGATTATTTATATGTAAGTACTATAATAGGTATCACTAATTCGCTTCTAGTGTATATCACGTAGATGTAATTGTGGTTATAACTGGTGTAATTCACGTATTTTTATAATAAATTCGAAAACAAAACACAAATATGTCAGCGTCTCATAAAATACCTAACAAAAATCCTTTGGATTTATAAACTTTAAAATAACGAACATTATCTTATTTATTATTAAGAAAGTAAACTGATAAAATGCACCTTGGCAAGTTACCTCTAACGCTGTTTATGAATTAGTTATCTCTATACAGTACATAGTAGGTACCTATATCGGAGATTAAAAGCAGAAAAATTACCCGATCGTGTCAGCAACAATTTTAGAACTTTTTATCCGCATTGCAACTGTATGGAATTTGTGATGTAGTAGATTTACGTCACTTTAAGTAAATCAAAAGACTACCCCGTCCCAAGGGTAGCATGCGCAGGCCAAAAATCGATTACTAGGTCTACCAAATCTGCAGTGACCCTCTAATATTATATAGAGGAGTAAAGGAAGAGATAGATCACCGCTAAAAATAAAATCCAACGCGTTCTAGCTGCGACCTTTAAAAATAAATCCATTTTATGACACACCAAATTATCTGTAATAAACAGAATAGTTTTCGCTTCTATGCAATTAACAACAAAAAAAGATAAAGACGATTTAGTAATGAAACTTTTTCGGGAGTTTCATTGGTGAGGGATAACGAGATGACGTCATTTTAAAAAGTGTATTGTCGTGTATAGTATGCCATAAAGTAGGCAATATAAATATTTTCATATTTGCAGTGTTTTCACTTTCATTGACACCAACAAAAGTTTTCATTGATATATGTGTGTTTGTCGATGTTTTCGTTTGTTACCTTAGCGTTTTCCTATCTATACTTATATTTATTTTTGCTTTGCGTGATCATAAGTTATTCTAGTCGCGTGGCAATTTTAGACAAATTGACGCCCAAACGACTATTATGTGAACTGAAAACATCTTACCTTTAAACTGTTTACAAGTATTTAAAGTATTAACTTGCACGACTCCTGAATGGCTATCAGTATTTAATAGTTCTGTTTCCAGATAGAAATTGATCACTTGAACCAATATCTAGTAATGGCTCGGCGTGGTGGAACTTTGTCACGAATATTTTTGTGGCAACGAAAACAACAAACTGACGAACGAAAGATTTTCCTTCAAGCGCGCGTGAAAGTGAAAAACGTACTAAACGTTGCCTTCCTGGTGGCTTTCTGCGAGCAACTGCGCACTCCAATAGCCATTCAATAGGAGATACTGAGAATACGAAAAATACCAATGGAATATTGCTTAGGTGATGCAGTATTTCATTATCAAAATTTGTATTAAGACATGTACATATAATGTAACATGTTCTTGGCATCATTCCAAAATTATTGAATTGTTTTTTACCACTTACTCGCAATCATAGGAAGTAATCGATCCATAACAGCATGATATAGATTTTTCCGTTTCAAAAACAATTCATATGTATAAAACTGTTAAATACGCAAAGTGTATTGTAAAAGACAGACTAATTCTTTTTTTTAAATGCATAATAAAGTTTCTTCTAGAGAAATTTTATTATCAGCTAATCGAAAGTTTTTTGTTTATAACGATATCTAGGATAAGTACCTATGTATGCATGTCAAAACAGAAAATCTGGCTTAGTTTTAGGTAAATAATAAATAGTAACTTGTTTACTACATTTTCAAGATAAATACGCCGTCTTATCTAATACCGATAAACGAAATGTATGTTGGAAATTGTTAAAACAAATGGAAACTCACTGAACGGATTTTGATGCAGTTTTCCATGGTATATGGACTACCGTGCCGATTATTTTCAGATTATTGTCAATATCTCATAGGGTAGCTGTAGGTAGGCAACAAATAAGATAATTTAAATTATGAACATCATCATCATCAATAAAAATATAAAATTTGGCAGTTTGGGCGAGCGGAGGGACTGCTTATGCCGGAGGATAGGGCGGAAGTCCCTTTTCAGAAGGAATCATGAAAAAGAGTGGTTGGATTTTTAAGTTTTGCTCAGAACAATTTGAAAATATTGGAAGGAATATAGGTCCAAAGTTAGAGTTCCTGGTAAAATCAGATTTAGAAGACCAAATAATAATGGCTACCTCTTTTCAATATCGATAAAGTAAACCGGTTACGTAAGATAAAATTGAATGTTTATTACTTGGAATGACAAAACCGAGGGAAGTAAGTCAAGAGCTATAAAAACGAGTACACGGAACTGTTTTAACTGCGTTACAATTATGTTCAAAAAACTAAAAACTTTTGGGTGTTTCATTCCCACTAGCCAGTAATGCTGGTGGGCGGGCAGTCCCTCCGGACTATGCCGGAAGGTAGGGCGGAAGGCCCTCTTCAGCCAGCTTTCAGGAATCGTGGGAATGGGTGGGTGGTGGTTCGGGTGAGAAAGATGAGACGGACGAAATGAAGACAGAAGAGAATGAAATATTATCTGTGGAATATTACTGCCTCAGCATTTGCCTAAGTGATCCAAGAAAACCACAGAAAAACGGACCCGGAATCGAACCGGCGTCCTCCCGAATGCTAAGCAATGGTCTAGACCTCTAGGCCATGCCGCTCTGTACAATTATGTTCATTATCAGTAATCCTAATATCCAAATTCCAAACTTATTTTTTTTTCAAGCACCCTCCTCTAGTCATAATGCTACCAACATTTAATTTAGTAATGCACTGGATAGTAATTTTGCTTGGTACCTGGCATCACTGCGATTAATGGTTTATATATTCGTTCTGGCAAGCCCTCTATTAAACATCACCCTCCCCAACGACCTAAATCACCAATTCAATGAAATTTGAATTCTTGATTGACGGATTTTCAACGAGAGGGTTCATTAGCCGGTAATCGGCCGGATACTAAAAAATGTGCCGAATCCGCCGGAAATACACCGGATCTAAATCGGATACCTCCTATTAAAGTCGTCTTGACTAATCGTCACGATATACATATCAAAAACATATTAAAAATAGGTACTTATGTACTATGCATATGTATAGTACATGTGCGGTGAACATGTTCCTTAATTAACGTTCATTGAGGTCAACCAATTAGTCTATTATTCTTGGTGCTGCGAGAAAAACAATTAAAATGCCTGTTTGTAGCATCCTGGCCTAACTTAGGTACAATTGCTTGCGATAGTCTTTGTTTCTATGAAAATGTTCCCAAAATCATCCCCACTTGGATTCTTAATTCTCCCAGTCACAATTGCTTATGGAGTCTTACCCTTTCGTGTAAATATTTTTTTAGTCCTAACTTCATAAATTATTCAGTGTGTGTTGCTCATCCAATCTCCGAAATAATTGGTTTAGTTTTTTCGTATCTTTTTTACTTGCTGTACCAGTAATTTCGACTAAAATAATCCAGTCGATGAATAATTAAAGCAGAAAAAAAGATTTTGGGAAAACTATTTCGTACACAATAAATAATATTTTATGTAATAACAAAAAAACTTATTACTATCTATATCTAAAGGGTGAATTTGGAATAAGTGATTTTTAGGGGTTGAAAGGGCTTACTTCCAAGTTGGTTTTGATACATCTTAATAATAAATAAAATCAGAAAATTCGCTTATTAATTATTAACTGTAACTCAAAAGATTCTTAAGATAGGTTATTAGCAATTCCAATATTATTTATAAGCCTTTTCGAGGTTTACAGAGCCGGACTGAAGATTTTGGCCCGGGGTCCGATGTAAGCAAATGGTCTGGTTTAGAAGGGAAAGTGCACAAATTTTAACAGCACTCGTTTTTAAATAAATTTAAGAAGTTTGTTTTTGGTCTTGTTTTAAAAATTTATTAATTTTTTTTAATTTCTCTTTTTTTCACATTTATTGAGTCATTTGGCCCAGGGTGCATTTGCACCCCTGCACCCCGAGCCAGTCCGGCCCTGGAAGTTTATAATTTCTACATTTTCCTAAAGATTTTTGCTAAAAGCGCTTCTTCAATATCAAAATTTAGACAGACTGATTATTGGAAACTTAGACGCCCTCTATCTTATTGGAACCAAACTATTATAAACTGTTCGAGCCTGGGACAATAATTTTTCGTTCTCACACTTTTTTCCTACCTACCTACCAACAGGAATCAAGATACTAAATCAATTTCAAAATCTTATTCACCACCATGGATTTTTCAGTGCAACCTTTAATACATCAATTTGGGATACCTATTACCCATTGAACCCCCTCATTTTACGACAATATGACTGTACTATATATTTATCGCAATCGTAGTTACCCTGTGTCCAGTTTTTGACTTTTGCGTTAACATACATATGTAAAAAAATTGTAATCGTTTGTCTTGATTCGTTCAAAATTCTTGTAAAATTAATGGAAAATTTGAAAGTTCTTGAAGAACATTTTCAGGAATTCGCTCTGTTTGACGATCCCCTTCATGAAGGGAAAAAAATCACCCTAAACGGTTGTGACAAATGGTTCAAATATGCTGGGCTCATAGATGGTACACATCTAACCTCAAGTGATACAGGAATTTATTTTCTGAAATACAAGTGCGTATTTAAAGAAACATGATATTGCTGTATGTTAGGGTCAATTTAGGAAGGCGAAATCAATTTATTCCAAAATCAAACTGTACATTCCCAAATTGAGTTTTGAGTTTAATCCATAATACAATACACCAAATTTTTGTTTTTCTATTTAATATAAATTCCCTCTTTCACCTTTTTGTTTCCTATTACTTCAATTGATTCGCTTAAAATTTAAAAAACATTACTAGTATGCACTTGGGCCTAGCATTTGCAGTGCAATATTGCAACTTCAGTTATACAAATTGATGTGGTAATAAATTATAACATGGTATTAATGTAATTTTTACAATATTGTTTGCAAAAGAAATCTACCCACTTTCGTCCACTTCATATGGCATATAATTCATTAATCTTCGTTAATCAGTAGTACACTTGAACTTAATTAAGTTTTGTTATTGCGAAGTGATCCCTTTGAGGCTCTTACTAACACAATATCAAATATTTGGGGAATTCTGAAAGGCAAATTATCGATTATTTCCCCATTTAATTAGCTTTAACTACATTCATGGGCTTGGCTTTTGAAGCTTTTTGCTCATTTACCTGTGTGTATTCAAGGATACTCCCTTGATTACCTATCACTTTTCGCTTATTTTTCCTGCTTTGGCTATTTTCACGCAGGCTTCATAAGTGAAGCGAGATCATAAGAAGAGAGGCGCTCATTAGGGCTGTTTATATCTTATACCGAAGATGGTTTAATCAATATATACGTATATAAATAAGAATAGACATGTTCCTTTAAAATCCCTCTTTTCAGCAATTAAATAATGTAAAAAATTGAAAAAGTTAAGTGCCTTTTGGATGCTTTTAACAACTAGGAAAACGTAATCAAGTCAAACCTTTTTGTTTGTATCACCAGGATTAACTTCTAGCAAACTTAACAGTAATTTTATGGATTTAAGTAATCCACAAAAAAAATAATTGATTTATTGCCTAATGAGAATCTTTATTTATAATTTCAGTTGCTTATCTTACGTAATATACTAATTTCATAAATGTTAACCTGTAATTGATAATTCTTTAATTTTTTAGGTCAGACGCAATCGATTTCTTTGATTTCTTGAGATTTATCAAAGAAGTTGCTGCATGTAAAGATATGTCAATTGGTGACATAATTCATAAACTAACGTCGTGTGGACTACCTGGATTTAAATTCGCAGCAGTAAATATTGTTCATTTACTTTCTACTATTTCATCAAAAGGTCATAATTTTCGCATTTCCCCAAAACTAGAACATCCCACATCCTTAACTACTATATTTGTGAACAATAGTCTACCTCTACTCCTTTTAACTCCTATTCCTGCTTCTAATATGTCTGTAACTAGAAAGTGTTCTATCAACCTATCTCGTCTGTTTCTTATTAATTTCCACGCTTCTAACTTTTCCTTTTCCACCGCGCCCACCGGACATGTTACTACTTTTTGTTGAAGATGCCTCAACCCTGCGTTACCCTCTATTTTATATCTCTACTGCTCCTTCCGTCCTGAGTTATCTGACTTCGTATATACCGAAAATCAGCCGCTTTAGTATTTCATCTCCATCATCTTCCAATAGTTGTTAATATTAAAGGTTCCTTGGGGACGATTTAGAAGAAAGGAACTGATTTCAGGAATAATCTTCACAAGAGTTAACATCACAGGAAATATCAATTATTAATGCCATCCCTGTAATAGTATCACAGAAGAAACGTGACTGTTTGTGATCCATTTGGTCTGTTAAAGAAAAGAAATCGATCTTCTGGTCGAACCGACCAATACACACGTCCAGCATTTTTAAAACCTATTTATCATCCCAAGTGATTCATCCGGACGTGGTACTGTCAAGTCGCAGGGGACCTCTCTCTCACCGACCACCACCAAAGTTCGTATTTCCCATGAGTTCCCGATACCGTATTCCCAGAAACTTCCCCACCGTTCGGTACTTTCGCTGCACATCGAATCCAACACTTGACGCTGCCTCGGTCAACAATTATTTTGTTATAGAACAAACAACGAGCTTTATGTCGTCCTTCAAAAATACCATATACACAAAGGGGCACACATATACACCACACCATACCACCACCTACCTGTTCCACCGTCTTCTCCAGAGCAACACGCGGAGCTTTCTCTCCCATCTCTGTCCCATCCTACGGCGCGCATTCCGTCCCTGTTTCACAGACAACGAAATCCCCTACGACCATCTCGTTCTCGCCAAATATGTCAGGTATGTCCACCGTCCCGCTCTCGCCTATTGTCGAGTCTCTTTCAGCTTCTGCCAGTCGAACACAGTCGACTGTCGACTTCAGCATTCAGTTTCAAGTCGACCGACGTACGGTTCGGACGTACCATATATACGACCTCTGTGTTTCGTTCTCGTTTTTCAATCCCGTTTTGTATTGTGTATAAAATTAAGTCTGTGCCCTGTCGATGCCGGTTCACAATAACCTACGAACGTAGTTTGGTGTATCTATAGAAAAATCCGAGACTCAATTTGATTCGTTGTCAGTCGAGTGCTTATATATAGTATAGTTCTATCCGACTGTCAAATGATACTCTTTTGGACAGTGGACCCATGCACGGATAGAGTTTCATCTGGTATTAGTTGTGATGCACTAGGAGAAAAAGAGTGTGGAATGTTGTAAACTGCCGCATGATCCAATATCGTTGCAGAACCGGTAAAACTCAAGCGCCAAGAAGAGAAAGAAGTCTGTATCTATTGTAATATCTGCTTGGCGTCACGGAATTCGTTCATCAAAGGGCTGGGATCCGGAGCGATACTGATAAAACTTACTGTAGACGACGAAATTTCGTTTCGAAAACTGTTTTGACGCCGTTCTGGTCCGTGTGTGCGCGGAAAGTGATTTTGACACGACGTTTTCCCGGAACCCTGAGGTGTGAATAATTTTGTCGGTGGAGGTTTACGAACGATACCGGTATGAAATTTAGTGAAGATAAATGTTCAGAAAATAGCTGTTGGGCCTTGAGAGCGCAGCTGAGTTGATCGGCCGTGGCAAATCGTCGGCGATCCTCCACTGCGAGGAACCTGCGTACAGGAAAAGCCAGCTGACAAAACGAATTAGTCAAATTAATTGGTCGAGTGTATAAATCTCCGTCCGCTCGCGGGGATAACTGTTATAATAAATAGAAACATCGATAAAATTTGCCCGCTCGTACTGTTTCCGGACCGTCGTAAGCGTTGCCGATCGCATAAAATAAAAAGCGATAATAATAAAAGAAAAGGTCCAATTGTACGTACGTATACGCGCGACAAATTTGTCGCGAAAACTAATCGAATAAATCCGAGTCCGTAAAAACGGCGCAAAAAGACGAAAAACACGATGTTAACATGCTGTAGTCGGGAACGGGTTTAATTATGGCCGTTTCTGCGACCGGGGAACATTGAATAAAGTGCTTAGACCGACAAATGAATTTACATAAACAGGCTCAGCTGAAACAAGAACAAAACCACGACACGGCGAGCTGCTTGTACGACAATATTTAAAGACACATTATGCATTGTTTTATAAACATTCGACTACACAACTTAATTCGTGCGACACCTCGTTCGTCCAATGAGTAATGACTCAACGGGACGAAGAAAACGCCGCCTGCTACGTTTATTCAAATTAATCGTACGACTCAAGCTGCCCACGATGTCCGCTTACACCAATTTCACCGAAAAAAACTGTGCCTTTTTGTGCTACACCGAACTGAAAAACCAACCGAAGGCCCGGCCGTTCTTCAGGAACTTTTGCATCGTGAGTGTTTTCCTTGCGTTCCTGATAGGTCTGTCGGTAGGAATCTTGATACCCGTGCTGTGCTTGCAGCGCTCCCACAGGACTCATACTAATAATAGCAAATCAACAGGCCATTTTCTGCCAAGCCCCTCCGCGATACGGACGATATTCCTGAACAATAGTTACGGTTTTAAAAATAATTTAAATAAGTCTAGCAATAGTGATAAACGTTCGATAAAACAGGACTACAACGAATATCCTACAGTTTCGTTCATTGACAGGCAATCGTTCGTCCGTTTAAGCCAAGACCTTGTCGAAGACGGGATATACTGGGGATCCAAGGTGGAAAAAGCTTTGCCGGAAGGTTACGGCAAGAAGAAGCACGAACTGTGGACGAACTACGTCCAAAACGGCGTAGCGGTAAAGCTCCAGGCAGGATGCGGAAGGATGCAGAATCGCATGGTCGTGTTCCAAGACGGAACCCAGGGATGCGTGAGATATCGCCAGAACATCGACCAGATCCAAGGGGAACTTTTCAGTTTCTATCTAGCGCAAATATTGAAATTACCAAACCTGGCCCCGTCAACTGTCAGCGTGGTAGACTTGAAATCGTCGCTTTGGCAGAACCTGGCGAAAGACATCGCCGCGGCACAATGGAATTCGAACAAGCCCATTGTACTCACTCAGTTCATCGGAAACTTGGACTCGGCAACAATACCGCCAGTGTTTAAGCCGGCGGAGCGTCACCTTAACAAGTACGACGTTCATAATATGACAAAGAACGAAATATTGGACGAGGACGTGTCACTGAAGAAGTTGGTCGAACTCGCTCAATGGTCCGATTTGATTATTTTCGATTATCTGACCGCCAACCTGGACCGGATCGTGAACAACCTCTACAACTATCAATGGAACGTGAATATAATGGACGCGCCGGCCCATAATCTCGCAAAGAAGTTAGACAGCGATCTCCTCCTATTCCTCGATAACGAATCCGGTTTGTTACACGGCTACAGACTATTGAAAAAATACGAAATATACCACTCGCTACTGCTCGACAATCTGTGCATATTTCGTAAGCAAACGACAAACATCATTCGCGAACTGAAAGAGAAGAGAAACATCGGTACGTTGATGAGACGGATTTTCGAGAAACAGAACAACGCTCAAGTGAAAGACGTGCTACCAACTCTGNATCTGCCTTCAGCAACATTTCCAAATTATGTTCAATTCCTGCACTATTGTTGTGCAGGTACCAAAGAAACGTATACGATGTATTGTCTGTCCCGAAATCAGTACCATTCGGTATTTCCAGGGTTGGTAAGGTCACCACCCTAACAATAGCTGTACAGCTTGAACCAGTTTCGGCTGGCTCATTTCGTAGTAGGGATGACGATTTATATATTAAGAACTTTAGTAAATCGAGCATATTATAAAAATCATATAGTAGATCATTCAAACGAATAGCATATTATCATAATCATTTAGATAGAATATCAGCAATCGACATATAGAACATAATAATCAATAGATCATTAATCAACATAATCGATATCATCATAGAACATTATCAATCGACACAATTCAAACAATCAATATTTTACAAGTTATCCGTAACCCTATAGTGTGCACTTGTAGCAAGTTAAATATAGTTATTTTTATTTCTGTGTGTGTTTTTTTGCCATCGAGTGCACTGGTCCTTCGAGAAGTTTTTCTATGTGGTACAGCAGTACACCGACGATTGTAATATTTTTTACATCGTCACATCACGCAACAAAATCCAAAAAAAAAGTAGTATAAGGATTTTCTACTACATACAATCATCCAAGGGTGGCATCAATGCGAATGAGTTTGTTTGTTACAATTTCACACCATAACTACTCAACCGATTATTATGAAATTTTGCACACACAGTGTCAGGGGTAGAGAAAAGGACATAGGGTACTTTTTATCCAGAAAAATTCCTGTTACCGAAGAACAGAAAAATTAGTTTTACAACTCATTTCAAACAGTTATAAATGTGACCTTGAGGAAACCTGAATATCTCCAGTCTCTAACCGTTTGAAATGAGTTGTATGTGATCGTACGGCATATCAACTCGGCCTCTCGACATGAATAAAGGGTTAGGTAGATCCAAACGACGAGCATGCTCATATGATATAAGTAAATTGTTTAGAATTAAATTGATATTTTCAAATAGAGGTGATTCAACATATTCACCCAATTATGAATTTTTGCTTATGCGACACAAAAAAAATGTGTAATTTCTATGTGCGGTAAACTTCTTGCCTTACCTGTATGTCGTCCCAGTACCTATAGTTAGACCAATAAAAATATCATTTTTCAAAAGAAAAAATTGCCAAGAGTCTGATTTTTTCAGGGTCGATAAAGGGCTGTCTCTTGAGTAATGGAGCCAAAAAATCACACTAGAAATCCGTCGGGATCGTATTGAAATGTGGATGGTTTCTTATTTATTTTTGTTTTCGGAAATTTTGTTTTCCATAAGGGTAAGTAGTAGCGAGTTTTATTAAGTACAAATAAGATAAAAAAGTCATCCCTATTGCACAAAACCCAGAAGGGGTAATAAGTAAATTTCTTTCATATAATGAACACTGGAGCGTAAAATATAAAAATTATAAAGAAAATTTTATGAGGCAAAGTTGTAGAGAATATTGATGTGTACATGTCGGAAAAAAAATCCAAAAACGAAAATAAATAGGAAACTACCCCTATTTCAATGCCACCCCGAAGAATTTCGAGTGATTTTTTGGTTCTATACTCAGGAAATAGCCTGAAAATTTCTTTGGATCCTCGCTATGATACCGTCTAATTTTACTAGGCTAAGTAAAACCTTGTACGTATAGTAGCAGAGGAAAAGGATTCTTTTACATTTACACCTACTATTATAAGTAAATAAATTTATCAACCATTTGGGATATGGCCTCTTTTATTAATTTTGCACTACATTAACATACAATATCTATTAGTTTTTCTTTAACGNGGGAATTCTGAAAGGCAAATTATCGATTATTTCCCCATTTAATTAGCTTTAACTACATTCATGGGCTTGGCTTTTGAAGCTTTTTGCTCATTTACCTGTGTGTATTCAAGGATACTCCCTTGATTACCTATCACTTTTCGCTTATTTTTCCTGCTTTGGCTATTTTCACGCAGGCTTCATAAGTGAAGCGAGATCATAAGAAGAGAGGCGCTCATTAGGGCTGTTTATATCTTATACCGAAGATGGTTTAATCAATATATACGTATATAAATAAGAATAGACATGTTCCTTTAAAATCCCTCTTTTCAGCAATTAAATAATGTAAAAAATTGAAAAAGTTAAGTGCCTTTTGGATGCTTTTAACAACTAGGAAAACGTAATCAAGTCAAACCTTTTTGTTTGTATCACCAGGATTAACTTCTAGCAAACTTAACAGTAATTTTATGGATTTAAGTAATCCACAAAAAAAATAATTGATTTATTGCCTAATGAGAATCTTTATTTATAATTTCAGTTGCTTATCTTACGTAATATACTAATTTCATAAATGTTAACCTGTAATTGATAATTCTTTAATTTTTTAGGTCAGACGCAATCGATTTCTTTGATTTCTTGAGATTTATCAAAGAAGTTGCTGCATGTAAAGATATGTCAATTGGTGACATAATTCATAAACTAACGTCGTGTGGACTACCTGGATTTAAATTCGCAGCAGTAAATATTGTTCATTTACTTTCTACTATTTCATCAAAAGGTCATAATTTTCGCATTTCCCCAAAACTAGAACATCTCACATCCTTAACTACTATATTTGTGAATCAAATCTAGGACTACCTCTACTCCTCCTAACTCTTGTTTCTGCCTCTAATATGTCTCTCTAATTAGACCGTCATGCCTGAGAAGGTGTTCTACCATCCTATCTCGCCTATTTCTTATTGATTTTCATAAAGTCCTCTGTTTTTCAATTCTTTCTAATACCTCTTCATTTCTAACCTTCTTTATCCACGGTATCCTCATAATTCGTCTGTAACACCACATTTCGAAAGCAAATAACCTTTTCCGCCGCGTCCACTATCCATGTTTCGCACCCGTACAGCGCCGTGCTCCAGACATACACCTTTAACAACCTTTTTCGAATTTCTAAATTAACCTTTCGCGAACATAGAAGTGACTTCTTTTTACAGACGGCGAATCAACCTTAAGTTATCCTCTGTTTTATATCGCTACAAGTCATNTTTATAAATCGAAAGAACATAATTTTCTTAGCATTATAATAATAATCATAATAATTAAAGTAATAATAACCAAAATTCACTGTAACCTTCTGAGGGAGCTACAAAACAGTGAAACAAATGTTTTTATTTATTCTACTTGAAAAAAAATCCATTTTAGCAATTTGTTGATTGCGGAGCAAGGCCTACAGAACACCATTATCTCGTAATGGATAATCCTGTAAAGTCAAAGAAAGACAGCAAAAAAAAGAAAAAAGGGAAACGAAGTCACAGAGGACACGACTAGTGACGCTGATGAACATTACAATATTATAAAAAATTATAAATTTTATTCAATCCACAAAAAAGTGAAATAAACCTAAATATATAATTAAAATATCCAAATGATGAAATAGCTAGGAAATATGTTATTAATGTTTAGTAACAATGCTATTGATTCGTGAAAATAAGTGAAATATATGCCTAAAATATTTATTTATTCTGTTCACGGTCATTCATAGACATTCTTATTGATTAACTAAGAGGATTTATTGGCTCCAGAAACTTTGCTGTCTCAAACAACTGCGTATCTTAGAAATATTTTCAAGAAGAATCATCAAAGTTGTCTATTATTATCGTGAATTTATTTTAAGAAAAAAAAATCAAAACAAAGCTACATAGACAGAATATATACTAGTGGCGAGTTGATAACCGAATACCTTCAACCATTTTTTCATCTAAATAAAGTCGTAATATAAATCCAATAAATGCAATTTAATTGAAATTTTCCCGGCGCCTCCACCAATATTTTCAGTAAAAATTACTTAACGATATTTATTTAGCTTCATGAATTTCTTGTTTTTGACATTAAAACGATAGTTTATAATACACATTAATTAAATGTCATTAATTGATAGCTAAATGCCAAATCCAAACAAAAACTTTGAGCAAACATTAGAGCAAGATACCTTTAAAAATATTACTAATTAATAAATTACGTAAAATTTTGTGGTTTATTCGAAAATAGTACACTTAATAGTAACAAATTTTGAGATTATGAGAAAGCTTGTTTTCTAATTTTTTTTACAGTAAAAATATTAGAATTGTAGTATTTTTTGTATGTTGGGTTGTCTATATATTGTAGTGCAAACAGTAGTTTAATTCACTATAAAAAAAAGTATGTCAATATTTCTAACTGCATCTACCCGACCAAAATAATTGAATGATTAAAATTTATCAATCTACTTTCATGAACTCTGAATTATAACTCAATTAAAGCCTCCACCAGAATTTTCTATATATTTTGTAATAATTGTTAATATCATACATTTATATTCATCAATGTCTTATTTTTGGAATTAAAACAGTAGTTTACAGTAAAATTTAAGTAAATACTATTGATTAGTAAATAAATAC